CGCCTTCTTCTGGTCCTGCTCCTTCCTTAGAGTGTCCACAGCCTGTCCAGTCCGAGTCACAGTTACAGCTAGCCTCCCCACTGCCTGCTCCTTCTCCCTACACTGGCCCTACTGGGGGTCTTGCTGAGCGTCGTGAGCCTGAGTCGCGTCCTGCGTCGCCTGTTCGTGCTGCTCGCACTGGTCGTCGCGTTCCGCGTCAGCGTCCTCCTGCGGTCCCAGGCACGCACCAGATGGCACTGCGTCCTTCCACTGCTCCACTGCGTGTCCCTTTGCCGTCTCCTCCAGAGTCCTCTCTTCCTGCTCTTGCTGACCCGGAGTTTGACTCCCTTCGTGCTGCCAGTCCTTCTGTCACGCGTCTCCTGGCTACTGTTGTCACTGACCCTTCCTTTGAGTCCACTGCTGCGTCTGCCTTAGTTGCTGAGCTTGTCGACTTCGCTGCTTACTGTCGTCTAGACTACGCCGCTAGTCTTGTTGCTGAGTCTAAGTCTGTCTGTCCTCCGTCCGTCGGGGGTGAATGTGCTCTTAGCACGGACGTCCTAGAGGACAGGCAGGAGGAGTTCCAGTGTTTTGCTGCTGCTTTACCTCATCTCATGTCCATGCTGCTTGCCCCTGAGGGAGACCCGGATGCACCAGACATCCCGACCCCGCGCTCTTACGCAGAGGCGATAGAGGGTCCGTACTCCTCTCAAGGGTCCGTACTCCTCTCAGTGGCAGACAGCCATGGATGCAGAGATGGCTTCCTGGAAGTCCACAGGCACCTACATCGACGAGGTTCCCCCACCTGGGGCGAACATCGTCAGTGGCATGTGGATTTTCAGGGTGAAGCGGCCGCCGGGTTCTCCGCCTATCTTCAAGGCGCGTTACGTGGCTCGAGGCTTCAGTCAGCGGCAGGGAGTTGACTACTTTCAGACCTTCTCCCCGACCCCGAAGATGACCACTCTTCGGGTTCTGCTGCACGTCGCTGCTCATCGTGACTACGAGCTTCACTCTCTTGACTTCAGCACTGCTTTCCTACAGGGCAGCCTGCACGAGGAGATCTGGCTGCGCCGCCCACCTGGCTTCACTGGGTCGTTTCCTCCTGGTACCCTGTGGAGCCTCCGGCGGCCAGTCTACGGTCTCCGCCAGGCGCCCCGTGAGTGGCATGACACACTGAGGACTACGCTTGCGGCTCTTGGGTTTGCTCCTTCTACTGCTGACCCGTCGCTGTTTCTACGCACCGACACTTCGCTGCCGCCGTTCTACATCCTCGTGTACGTCGACGACTTAGTCTTTGCTACTGCTGACACTGCTGGACTCGCCCACGTGAAGTCCGAGCTGCAGAAGAGACACACGTGCACAGACCTGGGTGAACTGCGCAGCTATCTTGGCTTGCAGATCACCCGGGACAGAGCACGATGCACCATTACCCTGACTCAGTCACACATGGTGCAGCAGGTCCTTCAGCGCTTCGACTTCACGTACTCCTCGCCTCAGGCCACTCCTCTGTCTACTCTCCACTTGCTCTCAGCTCTGCCTTCGGATGAGTCCGTAGAGCCGAGTGGCCCATACCCAGAGCTTGTTGGCTGCCTCATGTACCTGATGACCTGCACTCGACCTGACCTGGTATACCCTCTTAGCATCTTGGCACGCTATGTTGCTCTTGGGAGACACCGACCAGAGCACATGGCAGCAGCGAAGAGGGTGTTGCGCTACTTGTGCAGTACGTCGGGCATGGGGCTCGTGCTTGGAGGACGGTGTCCAGTAGTCCTTACTGGTCACGCAGACGCGTCTTGGGTTGACGACCTGGCTACGCAGCGGTCGTCACAGGGTTACACCTTCAGCCTTGGTTCCGGCTCTGTTTCGTGGCGGTCTACCCGCTCGTCTTCTGTTCTCAGCTCCAGCTGTGAGGCTGAGATCTACGCAGGGGCCATGGCTGCACAGGAGTTACGCTGGCTCACCTACCTGCTGACTAACCTGGGAGAGCCGCCTCGTTCTCCTCCAGTTCTCTACGTAGATAACAAGGCCATGCTGGCCTTGTGTCGGGAGCACAGACTGGAGCACAGAACGAAGCACATTGCTCTTCGCTACTTCCTTGCTCGTGAGCTGCAGCAGCGTGGTCAGCTGCGTCTTGCTTACGTGGCCTCTCAGGCCAACACTGCTGATATCTTCACCAAGGCACTTCAGCCTTGTGATCATCAGCGCTTCTGTAATATGCTAGGTCTTGTGCCTACTTGGCCTCACTTGCTTACCTCTTGACGTTGTTGTGTACTGTGATCTATGTATACCTGCACTTGCTTGTTCACCTTGATATATAATCCTGCATGTGAACTGGCCTTGTGGCCTTTGAACCTGTGCTCGGAATGTGTGGTGACGTTGTGATCCACCCTGAGCTTGCTTTGCTTTGCTTTGCTTGACTGGTCTTGTGACCCCTTGTTCTCCCCCACTTTGCCTATGGGGGTGTGTCAAACATTTATCATGTAGCCTATTTAGGCTGCAGTGGGGTAGACACTAAGGGGTACAGTTTCCTAGGGTTTCATACTTGTACCCAACTCATTTCCTAGTCAACCATTCCTCATTCTTCACAATGTATCGCTACAAGAACCGCGCCAAAGCAGTGCCAAAGGATATGCAGCATTCGAGTCGCATCTGGATGAAGAAACACCATCCAAGGAAGTCCTGGGCCGCCTCCTCCCATTGGAGCCAGCGGTTTAGGGACCGCTAGAACCTCGTCATGAGAGTGAAGACTAAGGTCGCACAAGAATTGTCCAGCGGTAAGTCCTGCTCCCCCCATGGCATCGTTGTCTCCCACCTGCGCATCTTCTTCTGTGTTGGTGTTCGCAAGAATGTTGTTTTGCAAAACATTAACCACTCATTCGCTCATTTGTCTTTGCTCTGGTCTTGTGGGCGCAGAATGTTCCAAGGATTGCGCGGCCTTCTAGAAATTTGTGCGCATCAACCGCGCTCGGCATGCCATCGACCTGTCCCGCATCATCAATGCGGATAAAACGCCTCTTTTCGTCGAGATGCCCGCCGCGAGGACGGTTGACCACCGAGGGTCGCGGTCCGTGCCTATCAGGACGACGGGCTATGAGAAACAACGGGTGACGATGATGCTAGCGTGCATAGCCACCGGGGAGAAGCTACGGCCTTGGGTGTGGTTCAAACTGAAGAATGTTCAAAAGTGCGACATTCTAGAAGGTAAGCTCTCTCTCTCTCTCTCTCTCTCTCTCTCTCTCTCTCTCTCTCTCTCTCTCTCTCTCTCTCTCTCTCTCTCTCTATCTCCACTCTCAATGACTCACATGACAGGATTACATGAATTCATTGGCTGACATGTGCTTTCTTGTGGTGCAGGCATCGTGGCGCAAGCACAAGACAATGGCTGGATGGATGAGGCGGCTGTCAGCACGTGGCTCGGCCGTGAAATCCTGCCTTTCCTCAACCCGGAGAAGGGGAAAGCGGCCAAGCGTGCTCTACTTGTGCTGGACTCATACCGGGGGCACATCACCCCAGGCATGCTGGCAGCGTACCGCACGCGCATCATCGTGCCACCCATCATCCTAGCTGGTTGCACCAGCTTGATTCGGCCGCTGGATGTGTCAGTCAACCGCTCCTTCAAAGCCGGTGTGCGTGCGCGGTATCGCCGGTGGTTCATCGGCACGGCATCAGCCTGCGCACCCCAAAAGGTGATTTTCACGTCTTGGTTGAGGCCGTCATATACCCTGCTCATGATTTGACTCTTATACTGTGTTGTCATTGCTTGTCAGGAAACTTGAAGCGCCTGCCGCATGCCTTGGTGCTCCATTGGATCGACGAGGCGATGATGTCCCGAGCGAGATTATCATCAACGCTTTCAAGACGTGTGGCATTTCCAGCAGCCTTGACGGCAAGGAGAACCACCTCGTCATGGCCCACCAGCGTGCAAGGAGCACGACCGATGTCTCGGATGACATGTCATTGCGGGGGACGACGGGTGACAACAGTGGGTTTGTGGGGAGAGACGGCACCGTGGAGGTAACGGAGGAGGACCTTATGGCGGACTTTGAAAAGGACGTGGTGCCCCTGCAGCCGCTGGGACTCCAACCACTAATGACCCCTACCCCGATACCGCACACTACAGAGGAGCAACATCAACAGATAAGCTCGTGGAGCCTGAAGAGATCGCCGCACATGCATGGACAGTAGCAGGAGCAGCACAAGATGGCCCTGCATCCCATGCTCGAGTGACAGAGGCAGAATATGTGACTATACGTGCTAGACATGAAGTAGCTACGTATGTGAAAATACGCTGCTAGAAAACCCTGCATTCCATATAGAAGACACCCAAGGGGGGGTGTCTTATCTCGTACCTTACATACGAACAGAAGTTCTTTCTATAAGAAAAAACCCGTTATAAATACACTATGTTTTCAATTCAACAGTCTTCTATTCGGGCGATGACGATAGGGCTTCTCTCAGCCCAACGACCACAGTTACACAGGGGATAGTGCCAGGGCCTCAGAAGTCAGCGAAAAAAGGCTGATTTGGGTAAAAAAGGCTGAGATTTCAGACCTTTTTTAGAACTGTGGCTGATTATTCAGCATTTTTCTGTGAAAAAACATGAAAAATTATGTGATTTGTAGTGTAAACTGGCATATAATGGCAGATTTTTCTGTTTTTTAGCATAATTTTTTGTACCAACTCTGATTGGTTCAGCCTAGCTCAAAACCAATCTGAGGCCCTAGTGCCTGCCTTAAAAACATGAACCAAATAATACTGTCTAGTGTACGCAAGCACGTTTCCGGTAAGGTGGTTTGAGTGCTCATCCTTTCTGGTGTACATGGAAGAAAAGAATCGTTTCGCTTACCTAGTCAAAACAGTAGGTTAGTGCAAATATGCACACAAAGGGCTGCATACAATGTTAGTGCACTAAAGACCACTGGCAGATTCAATGTGGAGACAACAAAGTGGACAGATACTAGGAGCACAGCTTGCCACCGCCACTACGGATACATCTGAAAACCGGTACCGATGCAATGAATAACCTACGAGACATCATGCGGTAAGCCAGTGTCCATCCACGAAGGCAGCTGCATGGCTGCCACTCCCACCTCCGTTGTGGCTGGCCGGTCAAGGGGCAAGTCAGAGTCCCCATCGGCAGCATACCCCTCTGCAGGACTGCCCGCACTGTTGGGTTGCTGTGTGGATGTGCTAGGGGTTGCACGAGTATGTGATCCTAAGGATGGGGAGTTGGCGGGCCGCTCTTGTGAGACTTGGTGATCGGCAAATGACGAGGAGGAGGAGGAAGAGGAAGAGGAAGAGGAGGAGTTGGAGGGGGAGCATCCGGTGGGTGGCAGGGGCAGCATGCGCCAACGCTGCAACCCGTCTGCCACGTGAGATGTGCTGTTGGGATGATGGGGTGGGGCAGACGCACAGACGAGATGGGAGAGACTTGCATGTGTAGACAAAACACAAGAGGCACTGGGACGGCTGATGGGGCAAGGCAGGGAGAGGAAGCATGTGAGGATTCTCAGAGAGAGGAATATAGAGAGAACTGTGGAACGGGGAGAGCGAGAGACATTGCATGTGGGAAGCGGCGTGCATGCACAGAGATAGGATGGGGGAAGAGTGCGGAGAGAGAGGAGTACCTGAGGTTATCACCAATGCACTGCGGGCAGGAGGGGAGGCCCTGCAGACACTCTGCTTGCAGCGAGGAGAAGAGGGGAGGGGAAGAAGAGGGGGGGAGAGAAGAGGGGACATGAGGAGGCGATGAGTAAGAGGGCTGATGGAGCATGGACACGTGGTGGTGAATGGGCAACAAGGAAGGGCAATGCAGAAGGAGGGAGGGAGGGAGGGAGGGAGGGAGGGAGGGAGGGAGGGAGGGAGGGAGGGAGGGAGGGAGGGAGGGAGGGAGGGAGGGAGGGAGGGAGGGAGGGAGGGAGGGAGGGAGGGAGGGAGGGAGGGGAGATAGGGAAAGATGCGGCAGGTTGGAGTGTAGCCTTGGAGGGCACGCACCGAGGGCGCAGGGCATGCCGAGGGTTGCGACACCCGTGTGCAGCACAGCGAGCAGGCGGCGGCGGTCCTGGGGCGAGTGGTGGTCGGTGACAAGGCAGCGCGTGGCATACGACTGCGGCAGCAGCAGCATGTCCCCTCCCCTCTGCGCTGCCGTCTGCTGCTCGCTCAACGGCCACCCATACACAGTCACCTGGGGGCAGGAGTGTGGGTGCACGGTGTGAGGAGGACGGAGAGTGAGTAGTTCCTTCCAGGTAGCAGGATTCTGGTGGCGTGGATGCAACAGTGACATGCTTGTCTACTAGTAGGAGGAAACAATAACGGAGCTATCAAACCGGAAATTACTAGGGAAGGGGGAAAAGGCACAAATGCGGCACAGACTGTAGAATGGAAAAGAGCAGCTCGGGAATCCGAGCCAGTACCCGTCTGCTATGTTGGTTTTGCTTTGAGAATTCTCAAAAGTAACACCAACATGGTAGCATGAGAGTTTGAGCCAGTACCCGTCTGCACGTATTGAGTGCAAGCATAAGAGCCGTCCATCCCTCTGACACCTCTGGTAGCCCGTCCTCCTCCTTGCCCCCCTCACCTCCTCCCCCCTTTCCCCCTTCTACCCCCACTGTACTGCTGCTGCCTTCCCCTGTGCCCGTCTCATCTCGGCCTCCCTTTCCTCCTCCTCCAGCAGCAGCAGCAGCAGCATCATCGCTGTGCCCCATGAGGCGGTCTAAGTGGCGGGCCTGAGAGCGCACGTATGTGAGGAAGGCGGGCGACAGGCAGTGGTGCCGCTCGTGCTTGCTCGTGGTGCTGCAGAGGAGGGGAGTGGGGATTGAAGGAGCAGGGGAGTGGGGAGCGCGGGAACATGGGAATGGGGGATTGGGATCGGGGAGGGGAGAGGTGCGGGTTTGAGCACACAGGGATTGCTATCGGTGAGTGGCAAGGGTTGGACATTTCCAGGAAGAGAGAGGGCGAGGGGGGAGGTGAGGGAATGACATGAAGGAAACACGAGGAGGAAATGGGCGGCAGGAACGCCCTGGGTTAAGAGAAAAGGGAAGAGGGATCGTGCGAGCGTGAGAGAGGGAGATGGGGAGAGGGGGGGGAAGGGAAAGTGGGAGGGAGTGATTGAGAGAGGGAGGGAGATGGGGGGAAAGAACGAGCGGTGAAGCGAGCTCACTTGCAATATGTTGGAGTCACTTTTGAGAGTCCTCGCAAGTAACCTTTGGGGCATTTTCTTAGATTTCTCAAATCAGGGCAAGGCGAGCTCACTTGCGGCGGCGGTAGGAGAGGTACTGGCGCATGCCCCTCTCTGACTGCACCGCCACCAGCACCATCTCGCGCTTCACCTCGCGCGCCCCCTCTTGCTCCTCCGGCCGCACCACCCTTATGCTCGTCTGCAGGCGCACCCAGGGGTGGGGGGGGGATGGACGCGGGATGGACGCAGGTGGGGAGGAGTGAGTGGAAGGGGGAATGGAAGCGGAAGGAGATGGACAGACAGGGGAACGGAAGAAGGAATGGACGAGGGAGTAGATGCGGGAGTGGGAGAGGGGGTAGAGGGGGGCGGCGCTGGTACGAGGCACCTCCACTTGAATAGTTCATTCCCAGTATGGATTGGTCAGGCTTGAGGTGATGGTCAACCAGGGGACAATCTGAATATGTGCGCTATAAGGAAGGCGAGGGAAAGAAAGAAGATTAATGAGAACTCAGGCAGGCAGGTTCGGCAGGCAGTCAGGCAGCTGAGGAGGTAAGGAGGAAGGGAGATGAGGAGGTGAATGGGCAAGGAGGTAAGGACGAAAGGAGAAACGGCGGGAAGCAAGCAGGTGAATTGGATGGAGGGAAGAAGGTAAGGCGGTACGCCATAGGCTGGCTGGGTGGTGTTGAAAAGGTTGCAAGTGTGGGGAAAAACTGGGAGCAGAGCAGAGCAGAGCACAGCTCCGCAACAATCGGAACAGAATAGTCCAGTCCGACCCAGTACAAGTGCCCAGCCCAGCCCAGCCCAGCCCAGCCCAGCCCAGCCCAGCCCAGCCCAGCCCAGCCCAGCCCAGCCCAGCCCAGCCCAGCCCAGCCCAGCCCAGCCCAGCCCAGCCCAGCCCAGCCCAGCCCAGCCCAGCCCAGCCCAGCCCAGCCCAGCCCAGCCCAGCCCAGCCCAGCCCAGCCCAGCCCAGCCCAGCCCAGCCCAGCCCAGCCCAGCCCAGCCCAGCCCAGCCCAGCCCAGCCCAGCCCAGCCCAGCCCAGCCCAGCCCAGCCCAGCCCAGCCCAGCCCAGCCCAGCCCAGCCCAGCCCAGCCCAGCCCAGCCCAGCCCAGCCCAGCCCAGCCCAGCCCAGCCCAGCCCAGCCCAGCCCAGCCCAGCCCAGCCCAGCCCAGCCCAGCCCAGCCCAGCCCAGCCCAGCCCAGCCCAGCCCAGCCCAGCCCAGCCCAGCCCAGCCCAGCCCAGCCCAGCCCAGCCCAGCCCAGCCCAGCCCAGCCCAGCCCAGCCCAGCCCAGCCCAGCCCAGCCCAGCCCAGCCAGCCCAGCCCAGCCCAGCCCAGCCCAGCCAGCCCAGCCCAGCCCAGCCCAGCCCAGCCCAGCCCAGCCCACCCCAGCCCAGCCCAGCCCAGCCCAGCCCAGCCCAGCCCAGCCCAGCCCAGCCCAGCCCTAGCCCAGCCCAGCCCAGCCCAGCCCAGCCCAGCCCAGGCCCAGCCCAGCCCAGCCCAGCCCAGCCCAGCCCAGCCCAGCCCAGCCCAGCCCAGCCCAGCCCAGCCCAGCCCAGCCCAGCCCAGGCCCAGCCCAGCCCAGCCCAGCCCAGCCCAGCCCAGCCCAGCCCAGCCCAGCCCAGCCACAGCCCAGCCCAGCCCAGCCCAGCCCAGCCCAGCCCAGCCCAGCCCAGCCCAGCCCAGCCCAGCCCAGCCCAGCCCAGCCCAGCCCAGCCCAGCCCAGCCCAGCCCAGCCCAGCCCAGCCCAGCCCAGCCCAGCCCAGCCCAGCCCAGCCCAGCCCAGCCCAGCCCAGCCCAGCCCAGCCCAGCCCAGCCCAGCCCAGCCCAGCCCAGCCCAGCCCAGCCCAGCCCAGCCCAGCCCAGCCCAGCCCAGCCCAGCCCAGCCCAGCCCAGCCAGCCAGCCCAGCCCAGCCAGCCCAGCCCAGCCCAGCCAGCCCAGCCCAGCCCAGCCAGCCCAGCCCAGCCCAGCCCAGCCCAGCCCAGCCCAGCCCAGCAGCCCAGCCCAGCCCAGCCCAGCCCAGCCCAGCCCAGCCCAGCCCCAGCCCAGCCCAGCCCAGCCCCAGCCCAGCCCAGCCCAGCCCAGCCCAGCCCAGCCCAGCCCAGCCCAGCCCAGCCCAGCCCAGCCCAGCCCAGCCCCAGCCCAGCCAGCCCAGCCCAGCCCAGCCCAGCCCAGCCCAGCCCAGCCCAGCCCAGCCCAGCCCAGCCCAGCCCAGCCAGCCAGCCCAGCCCAGCCCAGCCCAGCCCAGCCCAGCCCAGCCCAGCTCAGCCCAGCCCGACTCAGTACACTATGATACTGCACAGCACCGCACAGCACCTGATTCCACTCACCCTTGACCCCACGAATCCGCTCCAGGGGCGGGCAGCAGCAGCGCCCACGCGGAAAATGGCTTCATGGCGGTCGATATGTGCTCCACAGGGCAGCGCCAGGAGCGCTGCTGACTCGCCCACCACCGCACAGCTCTGAAACACTCGCCCCCGCACATTGTCCGCCTGCACGCACGCGTGGTGAGGAGGAAGGGGAATACGGAGGGGTATGGAGGGGTATGGTAGGGCATGGAGGGGCAGGGATGGGCAGGGAGGGGCACAGAGGGGCACAGAGGGGAACAGAGGGGGGCAGACGGGCAGAGAGGAGTGAGTAGCACTGCTGACTCGTCCACCACAGCGCAGTTCTGGAACACTAGCCCCCCCATACTGCCCGCCTGCATGCAGGCGCGTGGTGGGAAGAGGAGGGGATACGGAGGGGTGTGGAGGGGTGTGGAAGAGAGTGGAGGGATGTGGAGGGACATCGAGGGGCATCGAGGGGAATGGAGGGGTATGGAAGGGTATCGAGGGGCATGGAGGGGAATGGCGGAGCTGAGGAGCAAGAAGGAGAAGCGAGGTGGAGAGAGGAGTGAGTAGGTCGGGGGAGAGGACGTGATGTGACAATGCAGGGATGATTCAGGAACGGGGAGGAGAGCAGCATGCGAGAAGGGAAAGGGGGTTGGGAAAGCAGCACAGGATCACGAGGGAGAGAGCAGATCCGAGCAGAGCAGTAAAACGAAGCAGTAGTGGACAGCAGTTAGGTGCCATTGAGAAAACTTTGAGTCGACTCAATAGTCATCACGAGGGAGAGAGCAGAGCCGAGAAGAGCAGTAAAACCAAGCATTGCTGCTGGCTGCTGCTGGCAAGTGGGAGATAGGAGGGGACAGCATGGGGTGACGTGAGGCAGAGGCAGAGGCAGAGGCAGAGGCAGAGGCAGAGGCAGGGGCAGAGGCAGAGGCAGAGGCAGGGGCAGAGGCAGAGGCAGGGGCAGAGGCAGAGGCAGGGGCAGAGGCAGAGGCAGAGACAGAGGCAGGGGCAGAGGCAGAGGCAGGGGCAGAGGCAGAGGCAGGGGCAGAGGCAGAGGCAGGGGCAGAGGCAGAGGCAGAGGCAGGGGCAGAGGCAGAGGCAGGGGCAGAGGCAGAGGCAGAGGCAGAGGCAGAGGCAGGGGCAGAGGCAGAGGCAGGGGCAGAGGCAGAGGCAGAGGCAGGGGCAGAGGCAGAGGCAGGGGCAGAGGCAGAGGCAGGGGCAGAGGCAGAGGCAGGGGCAGAGGCAGGGGCAGAGGCAGAGGCAGAGGCAGAGGCAGAGGCAGAGGCAGAGGCAGAGGCAGAGGCAGAGGCAGGGGCAGGGGCAGAGGCAGAGGCAGAGGCAGAGGCAGAGGCAGAGGCAGAGGCAGAGGCAGAGGCAGGGGCAGGGGCAGAGGCAGAGGCAGAGGCAGAGGCAGAGGCAGGGGCAGAGGCAGAGGCAGGGGCAGGGGCAGAGGCAGAGGCAGGGGCAGAGGCAGAGGCAGGGGCAGAGGCAGAGGCAGGGGCAGAGGCAGAGGCAGAGGCAGAGGCAGAGGCAGAGGCAGAGGCAGAGGCAGAGGCAGAGGCAGGGCAGAGGCAGAGGCAGAGGCAGAGACAGAGGCAGGGGCAGAGGCAGAGGCAGGGGCAGAGGCAGAGGCAGGGGCAGAGGCAGAGGCAGAGGCAGGGGCAGAGGCAGAGGCAGAGGCAGAGACAGAGGCAGGGGCAGAGGCAGAGGCAGAGGCAGAGGCAGAGGCAGGGGCAGAGGCAGAGGCAGGGGCAGAGGCAGAGGCAGAGGCAGAGGCAGGGGCAGAGGCAGAGGCAGGGGCAGAGGCAGAGGCAGAGGCAGAGGCAGAGGCAGGGGCAGAGGCAGAGGCAGAGGCAGAGGCAGAGGCAGAGGCAGGGGCAGAGGCAGAGGCAGGGGCAGAGGCAGGGGCAGAGGCAGAGGCAGAGACAGAGACAGGGGCAGAGGCAGAGGCAGGGGCAGGGGCAGAGGCAGGGGCAGAGGCAGAGGCAGGGGCAGAGGCAGAGGCAGAGGCAGGGGCAGAGGCAGGGGCAGAGGCAGAGGCAGAGGCAGAGGCAGAGGCAGAGGCAGGGGCAGAGGCAGAGGCAGAGGCAGGGGCAGAGGCAGAGGCAGGGGCAGAGGCAGAGGCAGGGGCAGAGGCAGAGGCAGGGGCAGGGGCAGAGGCAGAGGCAGGGGCAGAGGCAGGGGCAGAGGCAGAGGCAGAGGCAGAGACAGAGGCAGAGGCAGGGGCAGAGGCAGAGGCAGAGGCAGGGGCAGAGGCAGAGGCAGGGGCAGAGGCAGAGGCAGGGGCAGAGGCAGAGGCAGAGGCAGAGGCAGAGACAGAGGCAGGGGCAGAGGCAGAGGCAGGGGCAGAGGCAGAGGCAGGGGCAGAGGCAGAGGCAGGGGCAGAGGCAGAGGCAGAGGCAGGGGCAGAGGCAGAGGCAGGGGCAGAGGCAGAGGCAGGGGCAGAGGCAGAGGCAGAGGCAGGGGCAGAGGCAGAGGCAGAGGCAGAGACAGAGGCAGGGGCAGAGGCAGAGGCAGGGGCAGAGGCAGAGGCAGGGGCAGAGGCAGAGGCAGGGGCAGAGGCAGAGGCAGAGGCAGGGGCAGAGGCAGAGGCAGGGGCAGAGGCAGAGGCAGAGGCAGAGGCAGAGGCAGGGGCAGAGGCAGAGGCAGGGGCAGAGGCAGAGGCAGGGGCAGAGGCAGAGGCAGAGGCAGAGGCAGAGGCAGGGGCAGAGGCAGAGGCAGGGGCAGAGGCAGAGGCAGGGGCAGAGGCAGAGGCAGAGACAGAGGCAGGGGCAGAGGCAGAGGCAGGGGCAGAGGCAGAGGCAGGGGCAGAGGCAGAGGCAGGGGCAGAGGCAGAGGCAGAGGCAGGGGCAGAGGCAGCGGCAGGGGCAGAGGCAGAGGCAGAGGCAGAGGCAGAGGCAGGGGCAGAGGCAGAGGCAGGGGCAGAGGCAGAGGCAGAGGCAGGGGCAGAGGCAGAGGCAGAGGCAGGGGCAGAGGCAGAGGCAGGGGCAGAGGCAGAGGCAGAGGCAGAGGCAGAGGCAGGGCAGAGGCAGAGGCAGGGGCAGAGGCAGAGGCAGGGGCAGAGGCAGAGGCAGAGGCAGGGGCAGAGGCAGAGGCAGGGGCAGAGGCAGAGGCAGGGGCAGAGGCAGAGGCAGGGGCAGAGGCAGGGGCAGAGGCAGAGGCAGAGGCAGAGGCAGAGGCAGAGGCAGAGGCAGAGGCAGAGGCAGGCGCAGGGGCAGAGGCAGAGGCAGAGGCAGAGGCAGAGGCAGAGGCAGAGGCAGAGGCAGAGGCAGAGGCAGAGGCAGGGGCAGAGGCAGAGGCAGAGGCAGAGACAGAGGCAGGGGCAGAGGCAGAGGCAGGGGCAGAGGCAGAGGCAGGGGCAGAGGCAGAGGCAGAGGCAGGGGCAGAGGCAGAGGCAGAGGCAGAGACAGAGGCAGGGGCAGAGGCAGAGGCAGGGGCAGAGGCAGAGGCAGGGGCAGAGGCAGAGGCAGGGGCAGAGGCAGAGGCAGAGGCAGGGGCAGAGGCAGAGGCAGGGGCAGAGGCAGACGCAGAGGCAGAGGCAGGGGCAGAGGCAGAGGCAGGGGCAGAGGCAGAGGCAGAGGCAGGGGCAGAGGCAGAGGCAGGGGCAGAGGCAGAGGCAGGGGCAGAGGCAGAGGCAGGGGCAGAGGCAGGGGCAGAGGCAGAGGCAGAGGCAGAGGCAGAGGCAGAGGCAGAGGCAGAGGCAGAGGCAGAGGCAGGGGCAGGGGCAGAGGCAGAGGCAGAGGCAGAGGCAGAGGCAGAGGCAGAGGCAGAGGCAGGGGCAGAGGCAGAGGCAGAGGCAGAGGCAGAGGCAGGGGCAGAGGCAGAGGCAGGGGCAGAGGCAGAGGCAGAGGCAGGGGCAGAGGCAGAGGCAGGGGCAGAGGCAGAGGCAGGGGCAGAGGCAGAGGCAGGGGCAGAGGCAGAGGCAGGGGCAGAGGCAGAGGCAGGGGCAGAGGCAGGGGCAGAGGCAGAGGCAGAGGCAGGGGCAGAGGCAGAGGCAGGGGCAGAGGCAGAGGCAGAGGCAGAGGCAGAGGCAGGGGCAGAGGCAGAGGCAGAGGCAGAGGGCAGAGGCAGAGGCAGGCAGAGGCAGAGGCAGGGGCAGAGGCAGAGGCAGGGGCAGAGGCAGAGGCAGGGGCAGAGGCAGAGGCAGGGGCAGAGGCAGGGGCAGAGGCAGAGGCAGAGGCAGAGGCAGAGGCAGAGGCAGAGGCAGAGGCAGAGGCAGGGGCAGGGGCAGAGGCAGAGGCAGAGGCAGAGGCAGAGGCAGAGGCAGAGGCAGAGGCAGAGGCAGGGGCAGGGGCAGAGGCAGAGGCAGAGGCAGAGGCAGAGGCAGAGGCAGAGGCAGGGGCAGAGGCAGGGGCAGAGGCAGAGGCAGAGGCAGGGGCAGAGGCAGAGGCAGGGGCAGAGGCAGAGGCAGGGGCAGAGGCAGAGGCAGAGGCAGAGGCAGAGGCAGAGGCAGAGGCAGGGGCAGAGGCAGAGGCAGAGGCAGGGGCAGAGACAGAGGCAGGGGCAGAGGCAGAGGCAGGGGCAGAGGCAGAGGCTGGGGCAGAGGCAGAGGCAGAGGCAGGGGCAGAGGCAGAGGCAGAGGCAGAGCAGAGGCAGGGGCAGAGGCAGAGGCAGGGGCAGAGGCAGAGGCAGGGGCAGAGGCAGAGGCAGGGGCAGAGGCAGAGGCAGAGGCAGGGGCAGAGGCAGAGGCAGGGGCAGAGGCAGGGGCAGAGGCAGAGGCAGAGGCAGAGGCAGAGGCAGAGGCAGAGGCAGAGGCAGAGGCAGGGGCAGGGGCAGAGGCAGAGGCAGAGGCAGAGGCAGGGGCAGAGGCAGAGGCAGGGGCAGAGGCAGAGGCAGAGGCAGGGGCAGAGGCAGAGGCAGGGGCAGAGGCAGAGGCAGAGGCAGAGGCAGAGGCAGGGGCAGAGGCAGAGGCAGGGGCAGAGGCAGAGGCAGAGGCAGGGGCAGAGGCAGAGGCAGGGGCAGAGGCAGAGGCAGGGGCAGAGGCAGAGGCAGGGGCAGAGGCAGAGGCAGGGGCAGAGGCAGAGGCAGGGGCAGAGGCAGAGGCAGGGGCAGAGGCAGAGGCAGAGGCAGGGGCAGAGGCAGAGGCAGGGGCAGAGGCAGAGGCAGAGGCAGAGGCAGAGGCAGGGGCAGAGGCAGAGGCAGGGGCAGAGGCAGAGGCAGAGGCAGGGGCAGAGGCAGAGGCAGAGGCAGGGGCAGGGGCAGAGGCAGAGGCAGGGGCAGAGGCAGAGGCAGGGGCAGAGGCAGAGGCAGAGGCAGAGGCAGAGGCAGAGGCAGGGGCAGAGGCAGAGGCAGAGGCAGAGGCAGAGGCAGAGGCAGAGGCAGAGGCAGAGGCAGGGGCAGAGGCAGAGGCAGAGGCAGAGGCAGAGGCAGGGGCAGAGGCAGAGGCAGAGGCAGGGGCAGGGGCAGAGGCAGAGGCAGGGGCAGAGGCAGAGGCAGGGGCAGAGGCAGAGGCAGAGGCAGAGGCAGAG